GAACCCGGGCCGCCAGGTGCGGTCCTGGGCTGTGGGTGGGCTCGGGGCTTGGACGGTTGCCGGGGGCGGGGCTGGCTCTCCATCCTCCCAGGTGCTGCTTGGTCTCCTGAGGTGTGGCTCTTRGTTCCTGTGGGTGGTCCCCTGGCCGGGGTGGCTGCCGGGTTCCGGGGGGTGGACGGCTGCGGGGGTGCACTTGGTCGCTGGCGGTGTGGTGGGGTGGTCATGGGTGTGGCTTCTCTGCAGCGGGGGGCTGGCCGGGCGTCCTGGTGCGGCCCGGGCCGGGCCTTAGCTATCTGCTCCTCTCCACCTCAGAATGATTGGGTCTACCTCCTGGGTTTGGGTGTGTGATGCCTCCAATAGGGGGATACACTTTAAGAGAAGGTTAGCTCATTACACAGGACTTTATAATTCATAAGTGCCTTTAGTGTAAACAGGAGGTTTCAAAGCAAGCTATGGACAAAATATATATATATTTCATTTTTAGTACATTGCAGTAGTTACTTTTTGTGAATATTTAGACATCCAAGCTTATTGAAGCTTCTGAGCGTGTCTGAGAGTGATGGAAGACGAGTCATTAAAGGTCATGGGGTGAGAGGTCACAATAACCTTGCCTGAAGCTCTGGTCACAGTGTAGCTCCCTGCAATAAATGCAGCCTGCCGTGTCCATTAGACGCAGCACTGTGGGGGGATGGCTTCAGTCAATACTGCTGTAATACTGTCCTCCAGTGTCAAAGTGCAGTCGTATGTCTAACATTTAGTTAGTTATTAAACAAAGTTTACTTCACAGAAAATTGGCATTGTTACAGAAGTTGTTTCATTAACAAAGGGCAACCGTCTGCGATGGGGTGTGAAACTTGAAACACATTTATGAAAACAAAAAATGAACAGGAGACGTTTAACCTTCAGTTTTATGACTGTTTGGTCTTTCTGAATGTGTTTTAGCCTGAGATGGCTAAAGATGAGGATGACACTTTTTCAATTCAATTCAAAAAATTATTCATTTCTGTTAGTGTAAAGCGCTTTGGGGTCCGGAGGGACTTAAAAAGCGCTCTATAAGTTCGGTACCATTTGCCATTTACCATTTGATTAAAAATAACTATATACAATAAAAAACAAAGAAAATACACAAATCAAAAACATCTAAATAAAATGAAAGGTAGCAGAAGATGAATAAATCTTAAAATGTATGCTCCTCTTAACCCCAGAATATATTCATGCAAAACATAATTTACAAAACACTCTACTGGCCAGCACAAAGGGGGTTGGACTGTGTAAATCCTGCTTATGCAGCAACTGCCATTCATGTGTTTCTCCCTTTAACACATTTTTTGTGGGGGTAAGCTGTGTTTACAAGTTTTTGGCAAGTTTTTGGCACTGGATGGTTATCAGATAACTCGTAGGTAGAGAAAGTTCCGAAAAAATGTTGCATTTTACAACAAGAAAGTTTTCAGGCTCACAGTATTGCGTCACATTCGTCTTTTAATCACATTCTGTTTTATTTCCAACCCATTTTGTCTCAGATTTTACCTCTTGTACCAGACTTTTTTTTTCAGATCTGTCTGTACAAATACTCTGTAATCAAAACAATACAGACAGCAGGGTGAATTCTGCATCAGATTACCAAGCTCAGCACTCTCCAGCTGCTTTTAATTAAAGACGTGTTTTTTAGGAGAGTTCAATGTGTTTTCTTCAGTCTGAATCATAGAATCAGGTAAAGAGGGAGACTTTGCTTAGAAATAGCAGGACAATGATTTAATGCTTCATCAATGAGTAAAATCAAATATTTGCTGTTTATTAAGTGCAAACTTGTATTTTATTCACTCGCTACGTTCTAAAAGTTATTGTGGCCACTTGTGATCTAAAAGGTTTGCTGCAGCACAATTAATTTCAGTAATGAAAAAAAAATATTTTTATTTATTTATTTATCCATCCATCCATTTTCTTCCGCCTATCCGGGGTCGGGTCGCGGGGGCAGCAGCTTCAGAAGGGAGGTCCAGACCTCCCTCTCCCCAGCCACTT